CACTATGAGCGCCCAGACCTGGACCCGATCAGTCGTGAGGTCCGTCGCCGGATTGTCTGGTCTCTCAAAATCATGGAGCGATACTTCTCTATCGGCCTCCCCGAGTTCGAGCTCTGTCCCATCGAATCCATTTACCTTGAATTTCCCAGCCCAGAGGAACAGTTCGAGGTAACGAGTCGAGGCGAGAATGGCACGTATCGTCTCTTGATCAGACTCGAAACCATTCGACGAGACGTAATGAAGTTGAACCGCAGCGTTGCTCCCTTGGACGAGCCGCTGCCTTCTTTAATCAAGCTAATCCGACATCATCAGCAGTCCCTCTCCGACATTGGCACGGTTATGCCAGAAGGGACGCATTTGACTGAAACTCAAACGCTCGGCCTTCTAGGGAGCCCTTGGCTGCCACGGCGTGTCCTGATGCACATATCCTGGCACCAGGCACACTGCGATCTCAATCGAATCCTGCTTTCCGGATACCCAGAGGCAGCACCTCCTATTGTACTTGAAGCAGTAGATCCGGCAGACCTTGCTGCTGGTGAGCGCCAATGCCTCGACCATGCCACCTCCATTATACAAATTTTGACAAATCTAAACCAACAAAGCACACAACGCCAATGTCTCGAGTTTGACACTGCCATCTGCGCCTACCATGCCGCTCGCCTAGTGCTCTTCATTTCCCGATTTGGCAGAGACCCTGACCGGCCTGCGCCAGAGTTTGCAGCCAGTCGAGCCGATCTTTGTCTCACGGCGTTGAAGCGGTTCTTCCCGAGCTCGGCACTTGTTGCACCCATCATTGAAGAATTACAGCGGTGCATTGGCGTCTTCTCTCAGCAAGAGGACGATTTGGCGTCGTTCAAACTCGACCCCACCAAAGAGCCCACACGTCATCGCGATTTAGAATCTCAACTCTCAGCTGCTGCCCGCGCTCGGCAGAGACTTGCCATACATAGTCTGCTCCGCCAGGCTGAGTTCTCTGATGGCGATGATGACGAGGAACACGATCGAGAGCCAGGATTCATCGAGCAAGCCTCAGCTCAGGGGCTTGAAAGGGGTGGCGATTTTGTGAACCAAGATGACCACAGATGCAGCACGCGTGCGTCCGGGCATATGAGCGCTGCTTCTTTTGCCTCTGATAGCCAAGTCCGTCATACTCATAAGGAAAACACGGCAATCGGGGTTCCTGATTGGCAAGCCAGGACTGGGTCGCAAAGCTCTCCCAGCATTGAGCAGATGGCCACACCGCTTCTTTCGTGGTTTGGTCCACAGGACTGGGACTGGCTGTCTGGTCGAGCGACTTGATGATAATGAAACTCTTCGGCGCTGTTTGCACAATGATAATGATAACCAAATACCGACCATGGACGGCAGGACTTGGGATTGATATACTAGTCACAAATTCTCTCTGGCCTCTTGCTCTTGCTTGATGCCTAGACTGTCACCTCAATGAGCTCCAGATCTTCCTTCCGCGAACTGTTGCCGATCCAGAATGAGTAGCCGCCATCGTCAACGTGCCACTCCCCGTTGACAAAATACCCGAGCTCGCTCATCGGCACCTCGAACCTAACATCTGTTGACTCACCTGCACCAAGTTCAATCTTGGTGAACCGGATGAGCTTCATGACCGGGAACTCAATAACGCTGAACTTGGGGCGATAATACAACTGCACGACCTCCTTTCCAGTTCGGTCGCCCGTGTTCGTCAGCGATGTGGTCACAACAACCGAGGTTGCACTGTAGCTTCTTGTCGCCGCGCTGCTATGTGCCTCGGCTTCTCCGAATGCAAACGTTGTGTAGTTCAAGCCGAACCCGAACCGAAGCGGCGAGTAGCGCGTCAACTGCGGCCAGTGCCAGTCATACAGCGTCGCCGAGCCGAAACCTCCCACATCATCCGACGGGAGATAGTCGTACGCCACGGGGAAGGCGCCGTTGGCTTGCGGCACCGTGACCGTCAGCTTGCCGCTGGGGTTCGTTTCGCCAAAGAGGATCTCGACGAGGGCGTCGCCGGTGAACTCTCCGCTCAGCCAACTGTGCATGATCGCACCCGACCGCTGTGTCGATTCACTCAGTAAGAAAGTCTGTCCCGAACTGAGAACGAGAATGGTTGGCACTCCGGTGTTGAGAACCGCGTCGAGGAGCTGTTGTTGCTGCCCCGGAAATCCGAGGTCTGCATGGGCATAGCCCTCGCCGTCGGTACGCTCGTTGTTGAATGTTGCAGGATCAAATGTTCCCAAGCCGGAACCGAGCACAACGACAGCAAAGCCGGCCCCTTGGGCGGCCGCTGCTGCGTCTACAATGCCTTTGGTGCTTGTATCGTTTGAGGGGAGGATGCTGGTTCCCTGGACAAAACGAACGTTCTCAGCACCAATCTCGCGCTCGAGGCTGTGGCGGAACGAAGCGCCGTACGCGGGATCCGTGGCATTGCATGCTGCGTACATGCCGGCGTTGACAATGTCAGCGTACGGCCCAATGACAGCTATGGAACCGACCTCGCTCCGCTCCAGGGGCAAAATTCCATCATTCTTCAGCAATACGATGGATTCCCGCGTGATGTTGCGGTTGACATCAAGGTGCTCCTCGCTTCGTAGCGTCTTGTTGGCTTGCTCGAGGCTTGGAAGTGGGCGGTCGAAGCTGCCCGTCGTAAATTTGATCTCCAGCAGAGCGAGCACAGCTGTGTCAACGAGAGCTACAACATCCGTTTCGTTGGCTTGGTTGATGAGCTCTGTGAATAGACCATTACCGCCTGGGTGGAGTTCATGCTCCAGTCCAGCACGCAGAGCTTTCAGAGCTGCGCCGGATCGTGAGCTCGCTACCTTAGATTCTGTGGTGAGATACTCGATTGCGTTGGCGTCCGACATGATAAGTCCCTTGAAACCTAAGATGCCACGGAGAACAGTCTGTAGAAGATATCTGTTGATCGACAACGGGATACGATCCACACTCGAGTAGGACGCCATGAGAGCCAGTGGTTTGGCATCCCGGATTGCCTTGACGTATGGCGGAGCGAGGTCGTTCAGAATGTGGTTGATCCCACCCTGCATGCTGGCGCGGTTGACACCACCGCTCCCTGATCCGTAAACCCAGTGCTTGATTGTCGTCGCGACCTTGACCCATCCATTCTCGTCTTTCTCCTGCATTGTCTGGATGTATTTGGTGGCAAATTCGCCCACAAGATAGCCATCCTCGCCGTACATCTCACCATTTCGCCCATTTCTAGGGTCCTTGGCTAGGTCAACCTCGGGTGAGAGAACCCACTGCACGCCGATGGCGAGGTTCTCCTCACGAATAACGGCCGCAACCTGCTCGAAGAGAGGCAGATTCCAAGACGAGCTCATAGAAGCTGTGCCGGGAAAGAGGGTGCCGCCTGAAATCCACATACCATTCACAGAGTCGGCAATCGTGATGTATGGGATGCCGAGACGCGATTCATCCACCTGTTGAGCGCGGAGGTCGTTGATTATCGGGAGGACGTCATTGACGTAGTTGAACTGCAATCCGAGGCCTATTTGGTGTCAGAGCCTCTACTGTTGATTTACGAACATTGTTTTTGTGAGATACTCGCCGGAGCCTCCTTACCGAGTTGCCCGTTTTGTGTCTTTCTTATCGCGTTGAAGGACGTTTCATTGAATACCGGTTTGCCATTCGTTCTGCTTACGGCCCTGCGGATACCACCCAGTTGACCAACTTTTTCTACCCATGTCATCCGTTCGAGCAGATCCTGTGCTCGCTCCTTCGGCGAAAGTGATGGGTCTTTGTAGGACAAACTTCCGTTGGATGTCCTTCTGAAATCAACGGTGAAGCCAGTCGCAGACCCCAGCAAGGCAAGCGATGTGAGGGCACAACGAAACATGGTAAGATATCGTGCCGTCAAGATGCTGTAGACGATGGCCGCGAACCAACTCTGCACACTAAAGGCCAATGAATGCATTGTCGGAAGACCTTATATTCTCTCGCACTGGACTCTATACCGATTCTCGAAGTGACGTGCTCTGTCGCCGACAGCAACCAACTGTCCAGTGACGCATCCAACCCATCTTGGCCCCGAGCCCGATCCCCGAAACCAGCATCTCCCCTGTCTCCACATGAGCAGACGGATGTCAGTGGGGGGTTCGGCTGTCGGTTGCAGGGCTGAACGAGGTTAGGGTGAGTCTTTCTGAAATGGAGGATTCACTGCCGAAGAATTATGCTCGGAAAACTTGCGTTACGAAGGGGTTCGATGATGTGATTTAAAGAAGTGGGCATGACGATTTCCTCGACAATCCGGTCTGGTTCACATTTAGAGGCAGTGGCCAGTGGCTATTGCAGGGCGCAAGACAAAAAGATGGGTTGAGTGGGCCGCTGACATTGGTCATGGTGTTTGGTACCAATTCGGAGAGAGGCCTGTTGTTCGGCTTGAGTATTCTAGGAATAGAGTGCAGGATCTATGAAAAACTAGGAGCAATCAAGGCTGTTACACTTTTTATCCTCAGTCAGGCGGAACTTGTCACTCCAGCTCCCCAGCCACAGGATTGTGAGCTTCTGACCCCCTTGAGGTGAAGCACTTCTCCTGGAAGGAGTCAGGCTTCATGAAATACATGCAAGCTACTTTCCATAATTATGAAGGCAGCTTGTTGGAGAGCCTACACAGAGGGATATACAGATGATTGAATGATGAAATATAGGACTGCGCCTCCAATAAGTGAAAGCGTTCCTCGTACGGCATTGCAATCATCTGCACATCTTGGAAGCTTTTGGTGGTCTCGAGAACACTCTCGAACGTGGCAGAATACTGCTTAAATCGCTGCCCTACCTTCCAATGCGCATAAATCTCTTCGACTTGTCACGATAGCATTAGCGATGGTAGTTGCAAGCGAGTAGGAAGCTGACCAGCAGGCCGATCAAACTCGGGGACGTGGAGTTCAGGAAGTTATCATCGGCACCAGATATGCGCAGATCCTATTAAGAATTCCACTGTCACTCATTGCCTTGCAGCTCCTTCGATTCGTCGCATATCACGAGGGCCATGGCTTTGTCCACTCTTCGGGACATGTCGTCTGCTTCTCATAACAGTCGCTAAGGCAGTCTCGCCGACGTTGAGCTGTAGGGTGAAGGCCTGGCCTGTCTACTGATTGCCAGGGTCTTGAGCGCTCGTTAAACGCTGACGACTCTTGAAGTTATTCCCATCCCCGAATATTCGACAACCTCGAGTACAGTCCTTGCAACTCTCGATATGATCCCCATCATACTCAACCCGACGGAAGGGCAGTGCGACTGCTTACTACAAGAATTGACATCTTCACCAACATGCAAAGCAATAATGAGAGCTGGCAAGAATGTTATTGCCTCTTCCGCACGGCGGTTTGCACAGAAGGGGGTCACTGAGACGACAATGTCGAAACGTGTACGAATGTAGGCGCTTGATGTTATTGTTGGGACCGGTCAAGCGGCCGGCGTTGCTGGAAAGTGCTAATAGTCATGGTATTGCTATAATGGAGTGCCGTGAATCGTATGAATTACCCCTTGCTTCGCTATACGTGCAAAAAATGCATCATGTGAACACTCGTCCGGACGCCTCGCCATGCATAACAGTTCCTCTTCCACTTTCTGCGCTCATAAAATCATGCTCGTCATCTCATAGCCTCGCGGGTTCGGCTCCTATTCGCATCATATGACGATATGTGTGGAAGCGTCAGCCGCTGCTTTTCTTCAGCCATGCTTGTGGCCCACTTGGCAGCTCGCTCCAATTTGGATCCGTGTGATTTCGAGATCGGTGTTCGTGCCTGGTTTGGCGATTCCGTCCTTGATTTGACCCGAGCGCTCCTTCTTAGCAATGGGGGACTAAGTTCCCTGCTGCGGGAGCTTACCTCGATCCTCTTTGAGCGACGCAGCTGCGTCTGGACCTGTTCTCCTCTCGAATCCTAATTTTTGGGTCGCAAGTCCTTGACGTACCAATGCAGCTTGTCTGACTGAAACACGTGTCCAGGAGGGTTGCTGGCCTTAGTGTAAATGTTGTCAATGTGATGTTGGTGGAACATCGCCGCCTGGTTGCAATTGAGAATATGCGGGAGGCCAGGCGGATTCGTCAGGCGGAAGATGCCGTGCCTGGAGCAACGTTAGCATACATGATGTAAGACCAGAGAGAGGCAAACTTACGACGGCTGGTGTTGCGGGGCACAGACGATCGCAATACTCTCAGGCATCATGATCTGGTACCCCGCCTGTGTGTGGAGATCACGCGAACTCATGAAGCAGGTCTGTGTTGGGTGTGTATGAATCCAGCCGAGAACTAAGAGATCCTCGTTGATACAATACTCGAGTTGCGCAGACTCATTCTCTGTTTCGCAAGTGTCCGATGTGCATTTCTGCTCGGGGATAAGGAGACAGCTGATGAAAAGTGCGTTATTAATCGGCCTTCCGCACAGAATGCCACACATCTCTAAGCCCTTGCGCGTGTTTCCTGAAGCAATCTCAAGGAACTTATGACGCAGTTCGCTGGGAATGAAAACGGGCCGGATAGGATCCCCATTCTCCAAGTACGCGGCAGGGCGGAATGCAACCCGGCTGCTCTTTGGCCGGTACCTCCACCTCCTGTTCCTTTGGAGGCCGAGTGGGGGCAGCTGCTGCTGGTGGTTCAGGTGTAGGGAGTCGTTTGTACGCCGGGAGAGACTCCTTGAGCGGCCTCGAGGGCGGCACAACGTCGTGTTTGTAAGGCGGAATGTCCAATTCTTTTGGAGGCTTTGATGGTGCCGCGATATCCGGCCTTCGAGGCTCCAGTGGGGCAGAATCCCAATGCACTGGTTTCGGTTTTGACACGGAAGGATAATGGTACGGCTGGGTCGGTATTTTGGGAGGAGGCGATGGTGGATGTGGGCGTGAGACGCCTGTGTGGCTGAAAGCGTCTTCGACTCTCTGGTACCCGCCCTGGTTGTCATCAAGCCTTTGTCGAGTGGCTTCCATTTGTCTTCTCAATTCTTCGGCGTCGTTCGTGGTATCCGGCTGTCCGCCTTGCCAGTCATCCCATGCACCACCTCTCCGGCGCTCTTGCTCCTGCTCCACCGAAACACCAGCACGGCGGATTCCCCTCTTTATTGTGTCCCGCCGGACGAAATCTCGTTGCGCCAAGTCGACCGCGAACTCCTGGTTGTCGCCTGCGTCCAGAATTCTTGCTCTCCCACCAAGAGAGGGGTCACGAGCTGCAAAATCATTGTAGGTCGTGGGTTTCAAGACTTCTTGCTCGATGTCGGCCTTCTTAGACGCAGCGGTCATCCGTGCCCACTCGTCGTATTCACTGTCAATGAGCGGTTTGAGTTGTTCGAGACGCCTGAAGACCTCATTCGCCTGGCGCTTCCGCAAGGCCTTCGTGAAGGCCTTGTTTTCCGGAAGTTTGGCGTCAGGGTGCGTGTCGAGGTGTTTCAGCACAAGCGATGAGTGTCGCCAGAGCATGACGTATGCTTTCCTGTAGTCGTGGTCCTGCATGGCGAATCCTGCCTGGATAAGATGAGCTACGCGATCTTCGGAACTGATGACGAAAGACGAACCTCTTGATACAGGACGTCAGCTGAACGAGCCCAGTGCTTGAAGGGAACTGTAGGTTGGAATTCGAAGTTGTCGCCCATTGCGGCAAGCTCCTTCGTGTTGGTCGGCCGCGAAGGCCGCGGTGCTGATGTCCCGTTCATGGCTGGTACTAGGACACAACTTCGACGCGCGCTGTTGGTTTGTTGGCGAAGATCAAGGAAGTGCACTCGGGAACAGATCTAGAACGTTGTATCTCGAGAAACTTGGAACATGGTAGTTAAGAGAGTCATGTGGATAAACGGAAACGGTGAGCGTCGTACCCGCCTTCTTACTAGGGATCCGAAGATGCGGGATGGATTGGTGAGGCAAAGTTTGGCAGGGTATATATCAGGAAATGGAAGCCTGGCGAATATGACGAAGCTCAATGCGCCATGCACACAGCTCCAACACCCTTGGGTCCTGGTCTCCCCCTCAGACATGACCCCGCGATCGCGGGGCAGTCACATGACAATAAACGGCACGTGACTTTGGAGCGAAGCTAAGGTACACTTCCATTGGCTGCCATGACATCTTATTTTCCTTGTTGATCTGAATCAACTGCGGGAAGAGCCGCTTGTATCATGTCGGAGAAGCGTCCGTTCATCACCAGATAATAAGACCGCCCTTCTGATTCCATTCACCAGTCCCTTTGAGGCTTGGCTCTGCGGAGGGCACTGTTGACAACGACGGAGTTCTCGAGTGGTCTGTTTACAACCCGACTCGTACCAGCCGCCTACCGGGAGAACCCGGAACGATGGATTCCATCAATCGGGGGACGGTCCGCCCTTCCTCTCGCCCATGGACAACATTGCAACCGCTCTGCCGGTCACCCAACCACCACATTGCTGTGAAAAGAGGATCTTCTGTCTTGATTCAGTTGCATCTGCAGCATGCCACGCGGTCTTGTTAGGGACGTCGCCTTCATTTACAATAAATCGTGCGCTTCGAAGGGATGTGACGGAAGCTGTCATGCATGAGTGATCAAACACCCCCGTTGAATGTGAGCTGCGTTGGGCAATCACGGCGTTATTCCTGCATGGCGGGAGGAAGCCATGGCCACCTACGTGTCATTGCTGGTCTTGCCACCATCCCTGAATACAGGCAATCTCCTGATGAGGCCGCAAGGCCTCAACGCCATGCCTGCCGGCAGAAAATATTAAAAGGTTCTGGACATACGCTCCCACCGCTGCTCAAAGTACAGCCCTCCTTCTCCGTTGATCTCCATCCTTTGTTCAAATCTCGCTCAGCAGCTGCATTCCAATCCCATCGCATTTTTTTCAGGATGATGTCGCAAACATGTCGAAGTACGGTGCCCGATCGATCTCTCGCCTGGCGAAGCTAATTATCAAGCAGACAGCGTGGAGAGCGTCATGCCTTACTTCACAGTGAGCATGGGCCAAACCGCCATCACATCGCCGTCCTTGTGGAAGACACTTCTCCGGTCATACTCCCACATCAACCAAACATATAACCTCCAAGACTCCCATGGTGTCCTTTCTTGTCAGACTGGTCTCAAGAGCATATTGAACACCACCTTTGACCGTGAAGCTCAAGCTTTCTTGGACCGACACTCCGAAAACCTCGATGTTCTGGACGACTCTCTAAATGGTCCGACCAAGGCGCGCCTGCTCGCCAGGGCCGTCGCCGGTGTCGTTGCCGTCTTTGAGCACCTGTCTGCATGCCGTGGTGAGATCACACAGGAGGTCTTCGATCATCAAGTACAGCATTTCGCCGAGAGTGACCAGTGCAGAAGGATCACTGCGAAGATTGAAGAGAGCAAGGTTTTCTCACGCTGCTACGCAAAAAGCCAGCTTGCAGATGTGATCTGCCAGGCTGTTGACGATGGCTCTGACACGGCGAGCCTTGGTCTCGGAGAGGATGATCAGGCTGCGATTGAGTGGGCATCCGAATTGCCCTCGAGGAACATGGGACTGCCTTGGGGTTTCACGATCCTCGCGTTGAACTGAGACGGAGGACTTGACGGTGTTAACGAGACATGCAGTAGTACGAAAGGGGGGGCACGACCATGGCGCTTGGGGGACACTGGGTATAGAATTTGTCCTAATGCGAGCCGTAATACAACCAACTAGTCATGCTTTTTTTTATGACGTCGGCTCATCGCCGACCTCACGCCGCCGCGTTTGCTTGTTGCTGTTGGCCTTGGGCGCTCGCCTGTATTTGAATGATTTCACCCTTCTTCTTATCCAGTTTGCTCTGGATGTCCTTGATGGAGGTTTCGTGCCTGTCACTGTTACTTGCTCATTAGATCATCGACACGCAATTGTTCCGTGAGGGCACTAACATCTCCTTATCAATGAAATCCAGGCGGCCCTTCACTGTGCCTTCCGCCTCAAACTTATCCTGCTGTAACAGAATAGGTCCGACGAGCTTATATATACGCTCGCCCTCCTTGAGCCCGTCGAACTCCTAACGTCGAGTTATTATCGAGCTCTGCATGCGTACTTAGGCGACCCTACCTGTTGCACGCCGAGGTTCTCCTGCTTTTGGGCCTCGAGCTTCTGGCGGGCAGATACTGACGTCTGAAGCTCTGTCTCTCAGTCAGTCGGCGGTGTTTTCATGAAGGATAAATGCGTCACTTGCCAGCTTGGAGTTTCTGGAACTCCTCCGACAAGGCTTGCAGTCGAGCCTGAGCCATGATGAGGGGAGAGTGAGAAAATCTCACAGATGAGGAGAAGAATATTGTGATGACCAGATATTGGGCCGGAAAGTACTTCTCAGATGATGTGTTGGATCTGAATTCGGCTCCCGAATTTGATTCGGCTTGATACTTCGCTTCTGGAGTTGTTAGGTGAGATCAGAGCGACCAAACCTGACTGACTCTAGTGTTTATGGCGGCTTCTCGCCAGCAGAGGGATTGCCCCACCAAACCGCCTAAGAGCAAGTCCCCCAAAAATCGTTACCTGACCCTAATGGTAGATTCAAATTACACCGGGTACAGCCAGAACCTACCACCTATTGCAACAAAGAAAAGGATAGAATTATCTAGGCGATCCTACTGCTTTTTCTTGAAGAATCGCGTCTTCCTCAGGGAGGCCAAGGGATCCAAAATATGCGCAATGAGGCTTACTCAGTGATAGCATAATCCCGTGTAAGCGATTATGGCATACATGCATGTATTTCCCCCGCGAATCTGGACTGGCCCATTGGTTTGTCCAGGCAACGAACGTCACTCACAGGCATCGACGATCCCCATCCCGCCTTGCTTCTGCCTCTTTTGCCCAACAGGCAGCACACCCCCACCTCGGCCCTTCCCCCAGCTTTCGCTCTGGTCTCTCTTGCGCTGCCTCGAGCCTATTCGGATTGAAGCCTACGGAGGGAATCGGTCTTTCGGTGAACCTGCTACGCATCCTCATCTCCCGCCGAAAACGACGCCTACGCTGAGCGACAAACCGCCGGGCAGCTGTGCGTGATCGACTTCCCCGCGCTAGACCTCCCCCTCATATCGACACGACGACCCCTCAACACGCCCACACCACACCCCCCACGAACGCACGATGTCGAACAACGTCGACTTTCTTGGCCGCGCTGTCAATACCGTCAAGCAGGCCATTGAGGCTGACAATGCGGGCGAGTACGAGAAGGCCTTCAACCTCTACAAGCAGTCCCTTGAGGTCTTCGTCCTCGCCATCAAGTACGAGAAGAATGCAAAGTCCAAGGACCTCATCCGCGCCAAGACCGCCGAGTACATGGACCGCGCCGAAAAGCTGAAAAATCACCTCAACGAAGCAGAAGCCAAAAAAGCATCAGGGGGCAAAGGCGCCGTTGGCGCTAATGGCAAGGGCAAGGAGGACAAGGACGGCGAGGATGGCGAGGACAAGAAGCTGAAGAACGCGTTGAGCGGCGCCATCCTCCAAGAGCGCCCCAACGTGCGCTGGGAGGATGTCGCCGGCCTGGAGGCAGCGAAAGAGACTCTCAAGGAGGCCGTTGTCATACCGATCCGCTTCCCCAGTTTGTTTCAGGGCAAGAGGCAGCCGTGGAAAGGTATCCTGCTATATGGACCACCAGGAACCGGTAAGAGTTATTTGGCCAAGGCGGTTGCGACGGAGGCGAACAGCACCTTCTTCAGTGTCAGCAGTTCTGATCTCATCAGTAAATGGATGGGGCGAGAGTGAAAGGTAGGCCATCCATGACCACGTGTGAGCAACGATGCTAATCAAGTTGCCAGGCTTGTCAAGACCCTCTTCGCCATGGCTCGCGAGAACAAGCCGGCCGTCATCTTCATTGACGAAATCGACGCCCTCTGCTCGCCTCGTGGCGAAGGCGATTCCGAGGCATCGAGGCGTATCAAGACAGAGCTGCTCGTCCAAATGGATGGTGTCGGTAAGGACAGCAAGGGTGTTCTAGTCCTAGGCGCGACCAACATTCCCTGGCAGCTCGACTCTGCTATTCGACGACGATTCCAGCGACGTATTCACATCGGTCTTCCCGACGCACCAGGCCGCGCGAGCATGTTCAAAATTTCAGTTGGCGATACAGAAACAGACTTGACGGCAAATGACTACAATGAGTTGGCCAAGTCGAGTGAGGGATACTCGGGCAGTGACATTGCGAACGTGGTACAGCATGCGTTGATGAGACCAGTGGCGAAGATTGTGCAGGCGACGCACTACAAGGAGGTATGTTTAGATGAAGCGCAACCGGCAATCATTATATACTAACACCCATCCAGATCATGGTCAACGGTGTAAGGAAACTGACACCATGTTCACCCGGAGACCCAGCGGCGAAGGAGATGAGCTGGCATGACGTACAGTCGGAGGAGCTTGAGGCGCCATCAGTGGATGTTAAGGACTTCAAGAATGCTCTGAAAGAGACGCCACCAACCGTCTCTATGACAGATGTTGTTGCGCATACGAAATGGACGCAGGAGCTTGGAAGCGAGGGCGCATGATGTGGCATGCAACTCATCGAGGGTCGGGCCAGCTGTGGTTTTGACCACATGAAATACGAGCATCTCAAGCTTTCACGACAAACCTGATTGGGCCTGCTAGTGCGAGACACTTTGATTTCAGTCTAGGTAGGTCATCATCACAAGTCGCGTCGAGATGATGTCAGCATATGGGCAGAGGACGGCGTCTTGGGGCGTTACTTGTCTGCGGGAGGTGCCTTGGTATTAGCAACTTGCATAGCGACTGCGTGTCGCGCAGGGCCCTGTATGTATGTTCTTTACTGCGATTTTCCAGCTCTCGAATCGTGCAAATCAATCACTGTACACAGAGCACACGAACGAAGAGAGGGGCGCGACCGAAGTTTCTGAACTCGTTGATATGGGTATGAACCTTCGTCAGACTGTACATACACGACACAATGCAAACATTGCCCTCAAACTCCCATGCCGAAAAACCATTTAAACTCCGGGATCCAGACAACAGACAGACAAGCCGAATGGAGGAGAGAGCCGCCGGACCGTTTACCCTGCAGGTCCGTAACAGCAAACTCCCCAGCGGCGCCAAAAAGAGGAAAAAGAGCAAGTCCACCCGTTTTCAGCAGCTGATGCCTTCCTAATCATCGTGCTTGGATTTCTTCTTCTTCTTCTTCTTCTCGCCGTCCTCGACAGGCGCGGGCTCAGCGGCACCGACCTCGGACTCGCGCTTGCGCTTCTTCTCCTTCTTGTCAGACTTGTCCTTCTTCTCCTTCTTGGACTTCTTCTTGTCCTTCTCGACCTCGTCAGCCACGGGAGCGGCCATCATAGACTCATCGAGCTGCATGTCGTCGCCCTCAACAATGTCCAGGACAGAGGCCTTGGAAATAGTTAGCAATGTGTACCGATGACAAAAGCAGGGCACATGTACGTACCATGACATCGGCGTTCTTGGCAGGCTTCTTGCCGGAGGCGTAGAACTCCAGACGGTCCTCGACCTGCTGGCGCAGGACCTGGCCGAACTTGACTGAAGGCTCCTCGGAGAAGTTGTCGATACGGCTCGCAATGGAGCACTTGTTGGCGAGATACCTGGAGATGCGGCCCTTGTTGCGGACACCGGCCTTGCCGATGAAGCTGCTGTGGTAGATGAGACCGTACTTGGGGGTGTTGCTCTTGGTCTTGAGGGCACGGAAGAGGGCCTTCTCGGCACCGAGAATCTGGAGGGTAGAGGCAGGGTACTTGGACAAGCTGGTGAGGGAGCCGGCGTGAGAGATGAGGCGGGCGGCGACGGGAGTGCCAATGAGGCACTGCAGGTTAGGGGCGACGATACCCATCTTCTTCTCGAGGTAGCTGGAGGTGGAACGCCTCGCCTCGGCCTGCTGAACGACGGCCTGGGCGAAGCCCTTGACAATCTCGAGATCCTGGGCGGTGATCTGGAGACCCATGGAAACCTTGGCAGCATCAATGATGGCCTGGGCCTTCTCGCCATCCTCCTCGACGAGAGCGGCGATGTCGTGCAGCCTATCGTTGGTG